AGAAAAAATATTAAATTTTTGGTCCTTTTCCCCCCCCCCCCCCCATCATCTCAGTTAGCACTGATCCAATGGCATGTTTAACTTATTCAACTTTTTAACATATTCAACTTTGTTAACTTTATCAAAGCCTGTAAATCCTTCCCTTGGCTTTGGTGATGTTGCACATTTAGACATTTAAATTTTGCTGAGCACACACCTGAGTGCTCTGGTGAACCAGAGACAGCAACAGAGCCTTAAAGCACTTACCCTCATCCTCCACTCCTCAATCCAAACTTCCACCAATTTCATGAAGGTTTTATCCCAATAAAGGCAGTAGAATTAGAGCTATAATTATTTCCAGGTAAAGCACTATTTCTGACTCAAATACAAATGTGCAATTTCAAGGCAGAAATGAACAGAAGTTATTCTGAGGGATTTTTGTGTTGTTTTCTTTTGCTTTTAATCAGCAGTCATTTAACTCAATTTGGTTTGTGTCTTCATATGCCAAAACCAAGTGAAATATAAGGATTTTGCTTTCTAGAATTAAGTCCCCAGGCAAGGAACAACAGCTGGAAAATGCATATGTTTGACTGTCTGAGCTTGTTGGTTTGTTTGTTTTTCCTGAACAAGAACTACATTATCCCTTAACAAAATGTTTTTCAGCAAGTTCCCCGTGTTACAAAAGGCCTTTCAGAAATAATGTTCAAAGAAACAAGTGCTCTTGGAGAATGACTTGCTGGAAGATAAACACAGAAGCAGTTTTGCAAAATATGAATGCCAAAAAAAAGATATTTATTTTCCAAGCGACCCTTTATAATTCAATAAAAATATGTAATGCTGTTTACTCAGGAAGAAGTAGCCTTTGTAAAGCAAGTTTCTAAATCAAGCCAAGATAATTACTTAGAAAATTGGGAAAAAAAAGAAAAAAAGAAAAAAAGAAAATTTTGTTTTGCATCACGTATTATGAATTTTAGCAAAATGAGGGTGATACAGTAGAAAATATCACAGTGCCAAACCTTGTCAGGGTAACTAATTCATTGACTGCAATGGGATTTTTATCATATCTATCTTTGAAAAATGAATTTCTTTGGATAGATAATTTTACAGCCACCCTGCTGTCCTTGATATACATATATATATACATAGATATAGATATAGATATAGATATAGATAGATATTATATATATT